ATCCAGCCCCTGTCGCTCTCGATCCCTCCATGCCCGCCCCCCTCTCCCCTCAATGGCCACCCCTCCATCCCGCCTCCACCCTTCCTCTATGACTACTCCGTCTAGCTATCCGTTCCCCATCCACGCGCCAGCCATCGGCCATTCTCTCACCACCCTACTGTCCCATCCTCCGCCCGCGCCCCCACCTTGCATCGCCGCCATCCTCCATCGGCATTTCTCCTGTTCCTCACCCTCTTCCTCCTCTAGCGCCCCCCTCTTCACCCTCTTCATCCGCGCGCCCCCCCTCATCGCTCGGCACGATCGGCGGCCTGGAAGCAAGGGGCCGCTCGACGCGGGAATGAGGCGGCGAGGAGGGGGGCGAGGGGGGCGAGGCGGCCGAGCCGCAACCGCACCTTCAGACAGGATCCTCCTTCATCCTCACCCCCATGCCCCCCACCATCTTCCTCGCCATCCTCCTCCTCCCCCCTCCCCCCCCTCCCCCCCCCCTCATTACCGTCCACCCACGCTTCCCTCCCCCAGCCCCCCGGCTGAACCGCCGCGTCAGTTAGCTACATCTAGCGTAAACGGGGGGCGTGGCGGGGTCGGGGGGGGGGGGGGGGGGGGTCGAGAATTGTTCGTGGCCCCGCGTGCGCGCTTGCACATCGCGCGTGGGATGTCGAAGCTCTGTTCGGTCACTGCCAACTTGACCAGTCGTATGCACTACCATGTGAATCCCAACAGCCCTTTATGGCGTGCGTGTGTGATCCAGCGTGTCGCGTCGTCAGTCTGCCCCTGTTCCCCTGCGGGGAGGGGCGCGCTCCTCCCCCATGCCCATCCCGTGGGCGCGCGTGGTGGGCAGGGGGGGGGGGGGGGGGGGGGCTGGAGCGTGCAATCGGGCACAATATGGCTCCGAGCGCCTCGCAGAGCCCAAGATGAGCCCAACTATGACTCACGATACCCCACGGTGGCCAAGATGGCCCCACGATGGTACAACATAAGCTCCAAGACAGCCCCAAGACGGCTCCAACTGGCCAACGAGCTCCCCGATGAGGCCTCGAATAGGCAAACACGTTTCCAACGCCTCGGGGGAAACAACGGGTGCGATTATCTCGCATAGTCGCTTCCGACGGCCCTCCGAGGCCTCACGATGGCTCCGCGAGGGCTCACGCGGGCCCCAGAGAGGCCCACGTCAGCCCCAAGAGCGCCCACGTGCGCTTCAAGAACGCACCAGGAATGGCCCAAGTGGCGATGCTCGGCACCCTAGAACGGCGGGGGTAAGCATGGATCTCGCGTTTGATCGATGCCCTCCAAGATGGCCCGACGAGCGTCCCATGGCACCCACGCGTGTCCCAAGAGGGCCCCAATAGTTGTCCAGACGGCCCCGCGAGGCGCCCAAGCTGCCTCGAAGACGCCCCCAAGGGGTCACCAGGAGGCTGCAATAGGCCACCCCAGGCAACCGAGATGCCCCCCCCATCACCCAAATTTTCCCAGAGGCGCCCATAAACACTTACAAGACATGCCCGATGATGTTCTTAGGTTTGGCCCCTTTTCCCGGCCCCCCCCCTCCTTTTTTCTGCATAGTATGCATCGTTTTCTTCCTCCTCCCCTTCCTCCTCCCCATCCCCCCTCCTACTCTTCATCCCCCCTCCTTATCCGCTCCATCGTTCTCACCTTCCTCTTGTTCCTCCGCCCCCTCCCCCCCCTCACCCCCCCCCCTCGCCTCGGACGGTTCGCCCCCGCCTGTTGTTCTTACGCGCGCCCCCCTTACTTGATCGCCTTAACTCTCCTGGGCATTGTTTCTGGATGGGCTGGCGGTGGTGCGCGTGGCACCAGCTATTAACATGCCGATAACCACGCCTGTTATCCACCCAACCAGCACCTACACCCGTGGTTAGGGCGAGGCATCCATCCGCGAAGCCTTGAGACACTCTAGGACTGGGGTGTGACCATGAGGAGGACAGCGCACGGACCGCTGGAAGCTCCGTTCAACTGCGTTCGAAATTCAACGCGTGGCGAGCACTGGAAGCGCAGCACATACCCCGACAGTGTCGGGCTTCCTGTCCCTGCGCGCGATGCGCGGCGGCAGCGGTCGCTCCCTGGCCTGCTGCGCATGCCCTGCGTTCTCCGCCTCCTCCCCGATCCCCTCTTCGACCCCCCTCCTGCGACAGTCGCAGCGCGCATCTCAACGCTGGCGTGTCGCGTGCCGAGGGTGTTCGGCATCCTCCCCCCCCTCATCTTCCTTGTCCTCCTCTTCCTCCTGGTCAGCATTGCCGTCCATCTCGGCACGCGCGTGCTACTTCGCGAGAAGTGCGCCACGATGCGCGACAAGCTCCTCTTTCGAGCAGCCCGGCCGACGCGCGCGCTGCAGAAGTTTGGCCGGCATCTCGGCATGTTTGGCGCACGTCGAGGAGCCGACCTGGACCAGAAGCCGTGGCTTGCCCCCCTCGTCCATGTACGTGACGTACGAGGCACTCGGGCCGCAGCACGCGTTGAGCCTGCCGAGCGCAGGATGATTCCCTGTGCGCGGCAGGCTCTTGAGGTCGGCGATGGTGTTCTTGACCTTGCCGCCGTCGGCCTAGCTCTGGGTCGTGTTCTTGCCTTTGCTCGCGCCCTTGCTGGCGTCCGTGCCGTGGGCCCGCTTCTCCTTCACCTCCGCCTTCGGACGACGTTCAAACCGTGACAGAGTTCGGAGCTCACAGAGCGGATCTAGTCCCACCAGCCCTCTGGGCGTCGGTGTTTTAGGGCGTTTCCTCTGCCACCCCTCCTTCTCCCCTTCGGGGAGGAGTTTGTCCCCCCCCCCCCCCCCCCCTACCCCCCTCCGTCCAGGTCCAGGATGGGAGGGTGGGGGGGGGGGGGGGGGGGGGGGGGGGGGTATGATGTCAGGTATGACGCGAGCGCACCTAGCTTGCCCCACCCCTTCCCCTGGACTTGGACGGGGGGGGGTCGCGAGTCGCCGGAGTTTCCAAAGCGGCCTCGGCGAGGAAGCCAACCTCATTGTTTTTACTAAGGCGTTGGCCTCATGTTGGCCTCTTGGGGGGCTGCAATTAATAACTCCCGCCTCCTGTGATCGATCTCGCCCACGATGGCCCAGAGATGGGCCCCCCCCCCCCCCTCCCCTGCCCCCAAGGGTGCCAGAGGGCCCCAAGAGGTGGCCAGGATGCCCCAAGGGGCCCCCATGATGCCCGCGCGAGGCCCCCAATCGACCCCCATGGGGCCCCCAACGACCCACCAAAAGCGCCCGCGATGCTCCAAGATGCCTCGGCGAGAATGCCAAAGCATTGGTTTCACTGAGGTTTTCGCCACATCTTGGCCTCTTGAGGGGGGCACTGGTTGAGGTGGCGCCAAGAGCGCCTGGGAGAGCTCAAGATGACCCGCAAGATGGCTCAACCTATCCCAAGATCTCTCAGAATGGCTTCCTCTGCGCGATGTCCACTTCCCTGATCGAGGCAATTCCTCTGGGCATCGTTTCTGGATGGGCTGGTGGGCATTTGCGAGGCGTCAACCATGTGTCTCGATTGCGTTGGTCGGGGCGTTCGGCATTGCCAGAGGTGGACATATGTACATCTAAATCAATGTATGTATATATATATATATATATATATATATATATATATATATATATATATGCGTGTGTGCGGCATGGGCAAAAGGAGGGGTGGGGAGATTGAGGTTGGCCGTTTGATGTGGGCTCCTCTGTTTATTGCATTTCCTTTGTCCCTCCGCTTCGGCATCGCTCCGCCTCCACCTTGTCTGCCACCGTGACCCCTGCCCCCATTCACCTTCACCCCCGCTCATCCACGCCCTCGCCCGCAGCATCGCCATTCGTCTTCCTATCCGTCCCCGCCCTCATCACCACGACCCAACCCTGCCTTTAGCTTCCTCTTCTTGGCTGGCACGGCCTCGGCCTTCATGGCCGACGCCAAGATGGGCGCGTCATCCTCGGACTCGGCTGTAGCACCTAGGTCGACCTTGTGCTCGTCGGGCCAGCCCTTCAGCCACTTGGAGAGCTCCTGGCCGCGGGGGAAGTGGGAACCGAGGCAAGGGCGGCCACGTGGATTTTCGGAAGCAGAAGGCGGGCCAGGTGGGCAGCACAGCGGGGCGGTAGAGAAGGTAGAGGGAGGCGGGGCAGGGATATACACCTCCAGGGACGGTTCAGACCTTTGGGGTCAGGTACGCAGACTTGCCGCGGAGCTAACCAGGTGGGAGAGAAGGTGCATGAGGCGCAGATGTGGTCATGATTGTCAGGAGGGCGTGGATGAGGCAACCTACGGTCATGTAGCACATGCGTACGTATGCCATTGTCCGTGCGTTGTTGTCCCAAGAACCATGTGAGTCCAACGCTGATGGTAATGTTGGTGGTGGTGATGCTGGTACGGAGGGTGATGCTGATGGCGATGGCGAGTCTGGTGGTGGTTGCGATGCTGAGGGCGGGGGTGTCGATGGCGATGTGCGGCGATGATGGTGGCCTAACAGTTGCGACGATGTCAATGGTGTTGGTGCCGCCATCATGTTCTACGTTGAGGGTGATGGTGATGGTGGTCGCCATGAGGTTGAGGAGGTTAATCGTCGTGATGCTAATTTTGAGTGCGATGATGGCGCCGACGGGGGTGATGAGGTTACCCGTGGGGTGATGACAGCTATGAGTCATGACAACGACGACTACGATGATGTTGGTGCGGCTGCTGGTGATGGTGGTGGTGTTGCTGGTTATGATGATGACGATGATGATGACGGCGGTGCTGCTGACGGTGGGCGTGATGGTGATGCTGGTGATGGTAACGACCATGCGTTTCGGCGATGGTCACGATGTTGGTAACGATGGTGATTACGATTGCAGGTTGGTTTGGCTACCCCAAACAGCCAGCGATGGTGAGTTATGTAACGTAAATCTCGAACGCGAGCAAGCATCTGACACGTAGACCGAAATTTATTTAAACCCTGCGCAAGTCGTGCAAGATCAACATCATGCACCCGTGTCGTTCGTGCGGTCCTTGTAGTGGTCCCAGTACGTGTGTCGGTGCTCAGTCCCCAGCACCGCCGTCCTTCATCCAGGCCGCGAGCTGCAGCAGCAGGTCGTCGCTCAGGGGCGGCTCGTCCTGTGGTGGGCTGTCCTCCATGTTGTCGTAGCTCGCCAGGCGAAGCGTCGGCGCGCCCGAGTCGACGGAATCTGGCGACCACGATGGGCGGAGCGAGGTGTCGCGCACGACGTCCACGGGGGGCATCACCACCTCCTCTTTCGACTCGGGTGGCGGAGACGCAACCTGCAGCTGTTTCGCGCGTCGGTGGCTGCCTCCACCTGGGCGGGGCCGAGGTGTCATGGGGGGCATCGGACGAGTCAAGGGGTGCGGGGTGCATTTTCAGACCGCCCCATCACGTCAATCCCAGCCTAACCTATCGCCCCGTTACTCCGAAGCCCTCCATGACACCCCAGCCCCGCCCAGATGAAGGCAGCCACCGACGCGCAAAACCACAACCTTCAGCGGGTGCACCATCGAGGCGTCGTAGTCGGACGGCGGCGTCGGCGTGTAGATCGGACTGCGTTGCTCGGCGGCCGTCTTCATCCCGATCCTTGCCCTCTTGGAAGGAGGCGTTTCGTTCGGCATTGATGGCGTTGAAGCCGCACGGCTCTTTGGCCTCGCCATGGTGCGCAAGTGGGGGGGCGCTGGTCGGCGACAGGGCAACGGCCTCATGGGCGCTCTGCTGCCCGTCGGAGCTGCCCCCCGCCGCGGAGACGATCTGCTGCCCGTCGGAGATGCCCTGGGCGGCGTCCGTATCGGAAGCGCTCTCCGACGCGACGACCCCGACGAGAGTCTCCACCGCGGGCTCGGACTTGCCACCTGGATCCTCCTCATCTGCTGCCAGATGCTGCCAGTCGCGGTCATCTGGCAGCACCTCGCGGTCATCTGGCAGCACCTCGGCCATCAGGGCCGCTTCATCCTCTGCAATCTGGCGATCAACCTCCTTCATGCGTTCACCATGCGCCACAGCGGCAGCAATCGCCTCTGCGCGGGTGTCGGGTCTGTCATTGGGCGCCGCGAAGCTCAGCCCGCGCTCAAGGCGGCGATGCCCCTCCGATGGCGACGTCCTCATTGCCTGCTGGAACTCCGATACCTCGGGCCCGCCCTCGCGCGCAACGGTGTTGCGAGGCTCACTGGGGTCTGCCCCCCAGCGCGAGGCCGCGCTGATCGGCGGGGCGAGCGCGGGCGCGGACTTGTGTCCGCGGCGGCGCCCCTGCCCAGATGGCCCAGCCATGACCGCCGGCAGCGAGGGCGGGGGGCGAGACGCGCAAGGGCGAGCCACCAGCCCGTGAAGGCACAACGCTCCACGAGCTCGCTGAAATTGTTTGCACCAAATGGCAACTGATCGACGATGATTATGGCGCGTTCTAGTTACTCCAGATTTCGCAATAAAAGGGATGGGTTCTGGACCCTCCAAGACAAGCCAGTTCAGACCTCCCCCGTGGGAGAACCCTCCAAAACATCGCCCCCAGACCTCCCATGCCCTCCAAGATAGCCTGGAAGAGACCCCCCCCCGAAATGAGACCCCCTCCCTTTATTACGAAATCTGGAGTATGGTGATTGATGTAGTGATGCTTGCGGCGATGATGGTGGTTGCGGTGAGGCGAATGATGGTTTCGGTGATGTGATTTGACGTTATGGCGATGTGTTATGGTGTTGATGTTGGTGACTAGGCTGGTTAGTTTGATCAGTGTGGCTGTGCGGACTGCGCCAGCGATGGGGGTCATGGTCACGGTTGGTGGACCATGTGCTGATTTCTTCTGGTCAATGCAAATGCGCGTCGAGCGGGAGCCCATTTCGAAACGCTACGAGCTTCCCTTTCCGTCCGTGCAGCTGCTGGAAGGGCGGCGATGATGACGTGCACTCGGTAGAGGCTGCTGGGGAAGCAAGGCGGACGGGGAGGGCGAGGGGGGCGATGAGAGAAGGGGCGAGTGGTGGGATGGGGGCACGGGGAGGTACACAGGGAGGGGGGTGGTGGGACAGGCGAGATAAGGGAGGAAGGGAACTGCATGGGATGACGCTAAGTAGGGGCGAGGCATGAGGCTGGGTGAACAGCAGGGGGCCCCGCGCCCAAGCGGCAACGAGTCCTTCAACTCAGCAGGGCTGAGGTCGTGGTCGTCGGTGTTGTTGCCCGTGTCGGCGTCGCCGTCGGTGATGGTGCCCGCGACGTCGTCGTGGTCGTCGAGCGTGCCTGGCGGCGGGTGTCCCCCGCTCGTTCGCAGGTTTATCCCCCCTCTTCGCCCCGTCCCCTGTCCTCCCGCGTCGTTCTCATCATTGTCAGCACCAGGCTTGCCATCACCCTCATCACCAACACCACGACCACCATCGCCCTCGGCATCGCCACACGTGTGTCATCACCGCCGTCATCATCACCAGCGCCGCCATCACCAGTACAGTTACCATGATAGGCATCATAGTTACAATCACCATCAGCCGCACCACCATCGTCGTCATCACCATCATCATCATCATCATCATCACCAACATCATCAGCATCATCAGCATCATCAGCATCAGCATCATCATCATCAGCAGCACCATCATCAGCATCATCACTATCATCACCATCACCATCGTCAGCAGCGTCAACATCACCAACAACAATATCATTACCACCATCACCATCATCAACACTAGTATCCCCATCACCATCCGCAGCACCATCATCATCAGGATCAATATCATCACCATCATCATTACCAGACTCATCATCGTCATCGCCACACTCCGTCGTCCTAGTCACCGACCTCGTCGTCGCGATCACCATCATCGTTGCCATCCTCGCCACCAATCATATCTAACCAGGTTTTACCGCTGTTCCCACTCACCCCATCGCCCTCCATGTTTCTCCATCCGCATCTCCCCTTCCGTCTTCCTTAGCGCACGTCACCCTCCATCCTTCATTCATCTTTCCGCGTTCGCTCGCCCTTGTTCCGTATCCCGTTACAATGCCCCGTCCCGTTCTCCATCCTCCAGGCCATTCTTTTCGTTGCATGCCATTCCCCTCAGCTTTCTCCTTCTCCTCCTGATCGAGCCCCCCTCCATCCGCCTCCTTCTATTCGGCCCATTTCTGCCCCTCTACCGCCTCACCCTGCTGCTCCTACTCCTGCTCCTGCTCCTTCTCCTCCTCTTCCTCCTCCTCCTCCTCCAGTATCGCCTGGCTCTGAAGCAGCACCGCCATCATCCACGGGGACCATCGTGACCACCTGGGCGACGTCGTCGGGGTAGTATGCGCCGCCAGAGGCGCGCCCGCGCGCCTCTGGCGGATAGCGCCTCCTATGAAGCGCAGGGGGGGGGGGAGCGACAAACATCATCACCGTCGTTCCTCCGCCCTCCCGCTTCCTCATCATCCTCTTCCTCCTCCTCCTCCTCCTGCTGCTACTCCTCCTCCTCCTCCTCCGCATTCTCCTCCTCCGCCTCCTCCCTCCCTCCTTCCTCACCCGTCATCTCCTCCCGCTGTGCCTCCCCTCATTCGTCTCATCCCTCTTCACTCTCCATATACGTCCTCCCCTCTCCCCCTCATTCCGCCCTCCTCCTCCGCCTCCTCCTCCTTCTCCTCCGCATGTTCTTCTTCACTGCTCGTGCTATGCATCTTTCTCCCCCGTTAAACATATTCATGCTTCAGAGACCGATTGTCCTGGGCGGCGTGTCCTCGCGGGTCACCCCCATCAGGTGCAACAAATACCACATGGTGTCTTTCTGGGGCTCGGTGCATTGCTGGAGGGCCTATGGGCAGCCAGGTGAAGGACGCGGACATGCCGCGGTCGAACGCAATGGGGAATGTTGGCACGATGCATACACCAGTGGTAATGTCAGGTCTGACGTCAGATCTGACGTCATGCCTGAGGTCGGGTCGACGTCAGATCTGACGTCAGACCGACGTCAGATCTGACGTCGGACCCTCGGACGTCAGAGTTGACGTCGGTCCGATGTCAGACCCGACGTCAGTCCAATGTCAGCGCACCATCGTGCCCGCCCCCGATGCGCTCGACCACGGCACTTCCTTCCCCGTCTCTTGACGAGTCGACGCCTGTCGCCGACGAACAGCATTGTCACGTACTCTGCGGAAGTGCTTCATCATACATACTAATTTATCTGCTAGACTTCCTCCGCGGGCAGCAGGAGAACCAGCTGGTTCTTGGGAGGCCCTGGGGTACCTGTGCGAGGGGGGGGGGCTGACGGGCGGGATGGGGAACGAGCGGGGCGGGGGGGGGACACGCTGACAGGAGGAGGTGGAAGCCAACGAGGTGGTTTGGCTGAACACTGAGGGGGATGGTACCAGTGGGAGGGGGACGGGCCAGCACCCTCCTGCCCCAGTCTCTGGCATGCCCCGTTTTACCCTCCACCCACACCCCTCAGCCCCCCCCTCCCCTCCCCCTCCCCCGCCTCAACCTCCTCCACCCATATCCGCCTCCCCCTTCTTATCATCATCGTTCTCCTCCTCCTTCTCCTGGCCTTCCCCCCCTCTTCACCCCACATCCGCCTTCTCACCCTCCTCCTCCAAGCCAACCCATCATCGCGCCCCCTCCTTGGGATACGCAGTCAAGACGTCGACGCACGCGTCGCGCACCTCCGTCCAGTTGGCCTCGGCGTTGGGGATGTGGCGCAGCAGCACCTCCACCTGGAGTGCGGGGTCACGTGCCCCCATCCCATCTCCCACCATTCGTCGGCCCCGTGCCCTCCGACATGCGATGTTGATGGTGATGGATACCACCACCATCACCATCACCAGCAACATCATCATCAGCCGCATCAGCATCACCATCAGCATCGTCATCATCATCATCAGCATCATCACCATCGTCATCAACACATCATCATCATCATCATCATCATCATCGTCATCGTTACCATCCTCATCAGTATCATCATCAACAACATCGTCAACAGCATCAGCATCATAATCCAGCACAACATCATCAACACCAGACTCAACATCACCATCATAACCACCATCAACAACACTTACATCACGATCATCATCATCACCACCATAATCACCGTCAGCGTGACCATCAGCATCATCAGCATCATCAGTCGCATCATCATCATCAGCATCATCATCAACAACAGCAGCATCATCATCAGTATCAGTACCAGCAGCAACATCTGCCGCATCAGCATAATACTAGTCATCATCACCACATCACCATCATCACCATCATCGTCATCATTCCCCTTCCCCCGTCAGCTTCTTCATTATCCGTACGGTTCCTCCTTCCCATCATCGCCCCCTTTCCCCATCCTCATCATCGCCTCCCATCGTCCTCCCTGCGTCTCACCCAGCTCACACCCCTCGCCGCTATACCCCCTGGCAGCCTCGTCATCCGCCCTCGTGCCCTCCCCATCCGTCTCCCCGTCGGCCTCGTCATCTCCCTCCCCTCCGTCCCCTCCTTCGCATCCTCCTCATCCTTCTCCTCCGCCTCCCCTTCCTCCTCCTCTTCCTCCTCCTACTCCTTCGTCCCATCCTTCCCACCATCACCACCATCACCAATCATGAGATCGCAGGTGGTGTTCGAAAGCGAACCGAAATTCCCCGTCGGACCACCATGTCAGGGTCCTTCGTCATGCTGGGCGCGTGGGCGGCCTTGTCTTTCGTCAAGTGATGGTACCAACCTACGTTGAACGAGTTCTTCGCCCCGACCCGCTCGACATATGCGAGCAGCTCCTGTGTCAACTGGCCGCGGTCGCCCAGCGGGGGGACAGGGCGGCGCACGACGCCCAAGTCCCTCGGCGAGGGCTTGGGCGAGGGGGACGGCACGGGAGATGGCGCGGGCCCGCCGCATGGCGCGCGGCGAGGGCACGGGTCGCGGCCGCGATGGCGCGACACGCGGCCTGAAACGGCCTAAGCCAATGGCTGGGCGAGGGGGGGCAGCGTGGAGGGGAGCAGCGTGGAGGGGGGTGCTTGGTACATCGCCCCCCCCCCTCCGATCCGCCGCTGCCTCCTCATCCTCCTAGTAATCGCCCCCCCCTCCTCCTCATCGTTATCGCCCACCTCTTCCTCCTCATCTTCGCCCCCCCCCGTCTTCGTCAACCTGGCCAGCAGCAGCTTCATCATCATAACCATGGACATCATAATCAGCAACCTGATCACCATCACCATCATCATCGCCATCATTGTCAACATCACCATCACCGTCATGATCAGCATCATGTTCAGCGTCATCATCATCATACTCATCATCATCAGCAACATCATCATCACCATCCCCC